TCCAGCCCTTCTGTGGTGGTGGTACCATTCCTCACAAAACTCACTGGATGAAAGAAAGAGAGCACGAGCACAGCTTCTGAACTGGAAAGTCATGCTCAAGCTGTTGAACAATCTGTGCTCTGTATTAACCATGCTGACATAAAATACACATGAAACAAAAAGCCTTTGGTGTAAGAGTTGGCATTTAGGAGTCTCTTCTGGGAGGAATCAGCACACCAAGAAGAGAAGTCTGCTCCTAGAACACTGTCATTCATTACTATACAGTGTGCTGGTTCTAGGCTTTCATGTACTTCTTACTGCTTTTTGCTTCTCATAAACCATTAGCCAACAGCACAGTAAATGGTAAGAACAAAATTTTCAATGAATAAGTATTCAAACAGAACTTTTCCATCCTGTATCTAGTTTCCATTAAAAATTATATTTTTCAGTAAGTAAAGGGGACTTATTGAAAGGAAAAGAACTGTTGAACATTCAAATTCTTTTTTTAATGCCTGCTTGGTGTTACAGAAATGTTGCCTTATTCTCTATTCAACAATTCAGAAAGTATAAGAAATGTTATAGTCAATTTTAGATTGGTATTAGAGTAACTGTTTTTCTCCAATGGAAATCTGTAACTTCATTACTTGTGTTCTTACAACTTTGCTTTTAACATTATTACAGTATAAAGACTTACATGCAAAGACTAAAAACAAGGATGTTAACAAAATGAGTTTCAGAATTACAGTTATTTTGGAATGCAAATATTCCTCTTTGGGGATTTCTGTTACTGTTGCAAACATATGCATAACACATGTAACACATAACACATGTAGTGGGTTTGGGTTTGGATGGAGTTAATTTTCTTCATAGCAGCTCCTGTTGTGCTATGTTTGGATTTGTGAACAAAATAGTGTTTGTTGATAATAAGTTATCACTAAGCAGTTGTCCTGGTTTAGGGCAAATCTGGGAAAGAACCTCTGAACTGGGTCCCTCCAGAAAGCAAATTCAAGCAGCCACTCACCCAACTAGCTTGGGAAAAGATTTCCTTGGAGAAAAGTGGAAACAACTGTTTATTAACAAGCAAAGTACCCACTAGCATTAAAAAAAAAGAGTAATATTAAACAATAAAACCTCTTGCTGTTTGAAGAGATAGCAAATCCAGAAAGTCCTTGTTGTGGGGTGGAGCTTGGCTCACTCAGTCTCTTATCAGTCCCTTCTGTGCTGGAAAATGCCAAGGCCCAGGCCCCAGCGGGCCACAGGTGTGAGCTCCCAGGGTTTGTCTGGGTTTTCAGTCCAGAGCAGGTTTGAACAGATTCAAGAAAAAGGAAAAAAAAAAAACCAGTCTGGAGAACTTCTCTGCCTCAGCTAGCTAAAAACTAACTAGCAGCAAAGGAGAGCTCTGTCCTGTCTGTCCATGCTGCAGACAGCACAGTCCAGAGCAGGATGTGGGGCAGTGAGTGCTGTTCCTGAACACAAACTGCGCTTCTTCTTTCCCCCCTCACTCTCAGAGCCAGTCCTAAAGGTGCAGAACTTAATATCCAGCACAAACAGAACAGATGATTGGGGATACAAGCATCATAAAGTCACCCCAGGACAGCAGTGCTAACAAAGCTTCAAGATCTTTTCTGCTTCTCAGCCCATCCCACCATGCAAGGTCTGGGGGTGCACAGGGACTTGGGAAGGGCACAGCCAGGACAACTGACACCAACCAACCCAAGGGATATCCCAGACCATCCTGCTCAGCAATAAAAGCTGGTGGGAGCAAGTGAGGGGCTATGTGGGGTCTCAGCTGCCCCCTGGGGCTAACCCACAACAATATATAATTTAAATATTTATATGAACACACAGGTATAAATAGGAATTGATTTCTAAGTTCATGTTCTATTGACATTGTAAAAATGAAGCAGCTTTGCAGAATCAGTACAGGTAGATTAAATATGATTTGAAGATACCATATTAGATTGAAAAGGTAGAGTGTACTGCATCAGAGCTGATTTTTTTTTAATATGCAATCAAAAAGCTGTTGTCATCAGGCCTGACCTTTAATCCTAGTATTTTATTCAGCAATAATTCCTAAGAGGTTCTGACTGTGACGACAGTGTTAAAGAATTAAACAGTAATGGCAGTTTACAGGCTCTTCACAGTTTATGCATTCACAGTGCATTTCTCAAAAGCTTTTCATACTTTGATTTGAAACCAGTACTTTGATTGAATCAGTAATTCCACAATTACACACTGTGTAAACACTTACTGAAGTGTTCAATCCCACAGCTGATGATAGGAATGAAAGAGACTTCACATTACAGGATCAGAAGTTCACATAAAACAGGAACTGAACACCAAATTTACTTGGTCAGCATTTATAATCACAACCACTTCATTTTTACACAGTAACTCAGAAATAAAAGTTTTAGTTACATATAAAAATCATGTTATGTTCATTTTTCTTCTGGAATCAGAAGCATTCTTAGAGTTAAATTATTTCAATTGATATTTGCTAAAAAGTCAACAGACAATTTACTGTTTGTCCAAAAATGGCTCATCTTTAAGAGGGAGACTGTTTTTGTCCAGGAGAGATCCAGTATCTTACTGAAAATTGTAAAGGCGTTATTAGGTCCAAGGTAGTGCCTAAAAATTGATTTTATTAAGCTTTTAATTTCTAGGGAGCTGAAAAATTTTGCCATGAACAAATATTTGCATAAACATATTTCATGGCTTAAAATGTTCTTTGATTGCTCATATTTCAAAATATTATTTCTAGTTCATTTACAACCTTTAAGAACCACAAAAACTATTTACATAGAAGAATACTAAATAGCTAGGATTCCTTTACTTTCAAAAATAGTTTCTGTAAAATGTAAAATTATTATACAAACATTTTACTTCCAACATAAATGTCTCTCACATTCATATAGTATAAAGACTCTTCCAGCATATCTCCTGGTACTGGATGCTCAAGATGAAGAAGTTTCATCTATACTCAAATGTGCCTTACTTTCTTTATCACTACAGTACTGAGCAATGGAAAAGGATATGGACTTGTGGAGATTACAAAGATCCCTGAAAGTACTGCCTCTTGCCAAATAAAGCATTCATTGCTTATTATCTGCACTCTATACACAGGGCTCAGATTCAATAATTAACTGAGTTTGAAAAAGGCGAGTGCTTAATGCAAATTTTAGTAAAAAATACTGCAAGTTTTGCCTCAAGAAACGTCTTTTGATACTTCCAGAGTAAATGAAGTGTTTTTCAAACAGGAGATATATACACGCTCCCCAAGAAAATTATGTCACCTTTCAGTGCTCATGACTCTTACCTTAACTACAGGTGAAATCTTGATGCAACCTTAAACATCTTAGTCACTGAATAGATATATTTATCCTTCAGTCTGTGACCATATCCACAAATAATCTTGTGGAAACTAAGTGGGACAGTCTATGCAGCACTAATGTTAATATCCTATAGACAGCTAAGATTTTAAGTTCAGTTTATCCTTGATTTGAGTGTAGTTTATAGGAAAGACTAGCCAATGAATCATCTGATTTAAATGAAAATCAGCTCACTTTTCTAAACACTTGGGGCATGCTCTAAGAATGACCCTATGCTTCCAAAACATAATATGATGAAGTCCAGACACAAGTATGTTTTTTTCTCTTGTCCTCTGGGCTGGTGTGATTACCATAATAAAGACCACCTCATCCCACTGACAACAGAATAAAAGTCATTAACCAGTACATCCACAAAGTTCCAAGGAAAACCCAAATAAGTAATAATTTATGGAAATTGAAGTAGATGGTAGGAGTAGTGAGGAGGAGACAGAAGGAAAACTTCTGGTTTTGAATTGGAACTGTTTTACGAGGCAGACTCCTTCAATGAATAGTTACAGACACTCAGAATTTAATTCTCATTTAAATTTCATTTTGGAAGAGGGAAATGGAATTGTATGTGCTGAATAATAAATCTACTTTTTCCTGTGTACTTTAACTAGTAATATGAATCATAAGAAATTAACAGAGCAGGATAGGTTCTGCAGTGGATTTCTGTCAATTATCCAACCAGCATTAAGACTAAGATTAATTAGATTAGATCCAAATATATGTTATTCTAGTGGTTCTAGGCTGAATCTGAAAGAGTTCTAATAATCATGAAAACAAATGTATGAGGTCTGCCCATCCAACCCAGCTAGTGCAGTTGTGATATTTTCAGTGAATATTCATCTGATTTTATTCAGAAACAGAAATATAGAACAATGAACAACTGGTATTTCTACAGATCATAAGATGATGAACACATAAGCCCATGAACTGCCAGAGGCTGAACATGCCCTGGTCTCCCCAGTGCTCCCATTCCTGCCATCCAGTGCATGTGGTCACTTGGTGTGACACAGCTATTACAGAGCCCCACTGAGATCATGATTCTGTCTGTTTCTGACCCTGGACTCAGGCACCCCCTCAAAAGAAATTAAAAAACTTTTGATCCCACCCAGAAATTAATTACTGACTGAAAGAATTCCCAATTACTAACTGTGGTCTACTGAGAATTCCCTCAATCTGGCCCCATACCTCAATTATCCCTCTTAAACCATATCCTATAGCAAATACTCTTTGCCTGTTCGTGGTGATATTTAACTAAATCCTTCTTCTGGCTCACTTGGTGTACAAAACATTGCACACACACTTAACCAAAAATGTTTGGGCACTGAACCTGGGAAGTCTGGGTACCATAAGGACCAAAACCCCAGCTATAACCAGCAGGAGGCTACTACACAAGATGTACACCAATTGTCAGTTATCTGACTATTCAGAAAACAAATGCCTTTGTACCTTACAGAAAAAAAAAAAAAAATCAGCCTTGAAAAAATGTTTAGCTGCTAATTTAGCATGTTTTTGTAATTTTCAATTCAAGCAGCCATTTACTCAGCAAACAGAAAACATGGATGTCCAAACAGATTGAGTAAATTCTACATAGGCTTACACAAGCATGGCATGTACTGGAATATTTCCAGCCAAAGCAATATTTACCTCTTCTCTTTTCTTTTGGACCCATTCCTTGTGTTTCTCTTCAGCCATCCTTTTTCTTCTTTCATATTCTTCATTTTGCTTCATTTTCGCAAGCTGTTTATTCATTTCCTAATTACAGAAGAAGTATACATTTCAAAGCTGTGGTGACCATTTACAGCAATACTGGCAATAGTGCTGCAGTTAAAACAATGTAGCCATTAGATTTTGGTATTTTTCCCTCATTAAGATTTTGGAGAAGAATGGCAGTCAACACAGAAATACTATGTAATACAATCAATGAAAAATGTAAAATTTTTAGGATATTAACTGGAAATATATATTTTAATTAGGCTTTGGAAGCAATTAAATGTATCAAATAATTCATTGGTTTATTAAAATGCATTTTTAGTCAGCAGACTCTTAATTTGCAGCAGTACTTTCCTACAATATTTAAAATTTACACTGTGTACTGCTCTGCACTGTGGAAGGTATCAAAAGCTAAGTGAAATATTATTCACCTGTGATTTTTAATACCAGAACTACTAGAACTTTAGGGCTTAAGGCAAGACTTACTAAAGCCAAATTTATTATGTGCAGATTCTAGCAAATTTTGAAACAGTTTTATTTTGAAGATGAGAGAAGAAATTTCAAAGTATATTTATATGACATGCAGTATATATGCAATCATTTGTATCTCTCCAGTGAAGTTAATAAAGAAAAAACATAACTAAGGAGACAATTTGAGATGTCTAGCTTCTCCAACAGTAGCATTAACATAGAGTACTAATTTTCAATGAAAATTCATACCTTTAAACATAGACAGATGGAATTATTTCCATGAAACTAATTTTATGGTCCCTACACTGCAGTCCCTACACTGCAGTCAGTTTCAAGGAGAACCCCCTTTTCTTACACTGAATTCAGTTTGGTAGGACATCAACAGAAGCTTACAGAAAGCTCAAACACCCACAATAGTTTAAAAATACAGTTGTTGCTGCATTGAGGCGAAGTTACAGCAAATAACATCTCCTTTGAGTTCCAAGACACCTGTATTGCAGGGATTCCAGTTTCTGTAAAAGCTGATGGCACTGTAAGCACCTTAGAAGACCCAACCTAATTCCACTCCAAACGTTTATCCACATTTTTGACATTCAGGGCAGACTTGGTACTAATGTCAGCAAAAGAACTGGGACTTCACAGTTGTTTCTCAGAGTATAAGTTTAGAATACTTTTAATATGCAAATGTAGCAATAATTTTTAATATAAATATCACATATTTCATTCTCTTTTGGCATCTTACAAAGATGTTGATTATATTTTTCCCCCAAATATAAGCTTTTCACACTGTCTTGCTGCAGTTTAAAATCTAATGTTTTCAAAAACTTACAATCTAAAAATATTTACCTATATGACTACTTTCTACATGGCTTTAAGTAATGCTTGTTCTATGACTCTTCTTAATACTAAGTTGAGAGATATCTGCTAGCTTACACTTACATTTCCAATCCAGAATATAAATGGGAAGTCATGAAACATTTGGTGGATATGGATTAACGGATCAAAGCACATTCCTCAAGTTTAACAAACTACTTTGGGGTACTGCTGACCTGTAAAATTCTGTTCCTGAACCTTCCAGTGGTAGGTGTTTTATAAACAACATGAGGTAGCCCACATAAAACAGCTGTATGCTATAGTCACTTTACAGATAATCACAGAAAGGCTAGGAAAACATTCAAGGTCAAACAGTTAATCAGTAACTAAAGTGAGAAATTATCTGTGTTTGATGTGATTGTTCTAATCTCTATCCAATACTTCCCATTTGATTTTCAACAACAGTATAATTTAACCAGCTGCAACTACAGAGTAATCAAGGAAAGATAGAGTGCTCTCACTTAATTGTGTCGTAGCCCTTGTTTTCAAGAACTGTTCATCTGCAAAGGGGCAAAAGATAGAATGAGGGAAAAAAAATGCTGTACAGGGATCCCTGTCCTGGGAAAGGACACCAAACAGTTGTAAAATACATGCTAAGTGGTTAACAACACTGCACCTCAAAACTAATCAAGTAGCTCGACATACTTAAAAATCAGCACACACCCTATTTTCTTCTACAACCTACATGCAGGAGGTAAACTACATACCCATGATGACAGTCAAGGCAGTAATTAAATAAATGTTTTAATCTTCTAACATTGAACCATTACCTGACAGTTGGATAAACAAAATATTACACAGCACCAGTTCAGTGAAGCATAATATACACCAAAAGAAAATGCACATAACATGAATCATGCCAGCACTGACAAACACAAACACTATGGAGGCTTAAGACATTAAAATAAAAAGGAAAAAAACAACTCTCCATGTTTCTACAACCAAGGAGAAGAAAATCCTATGTTTGCTATCTTCTATTAGACTTAGAATCAAAATAACTGGATGTAATCACCTCTGCAGCTCTAGCTCGTAAGCGGGCACGCAGCTCTTTCTCTTTGCTAATGAACCATTCTTCCCATGGTGAAAGATTATCTTTCAAAGGTGACACTTCTCTCCTCCTTGCAATTTCAGAGTGTTCAGCTGTTCTGAATTAAAAGCAAGAAACATAAGATAATATTATTTATAATGTATTTGAAAAGTAGAACAATGTTACTATCTTGAAAAAATACTTTTCTTTTATGGCATAATGTGACAACAATTACATAATTTTTCTACTTGCTTAGTAATCTCCCTAATGGAGAAATGGCATTTATAATGCACCTCTGACCATCCCCCTTGCATTCTACATTTTACTAAATTCTAGCTTGTTAGTTATTCTAAACTGTGGAACAGATTCAAATATTACCTTTAAGGAACTAAACAAAAAGAATACCTTGAACATCAAAGAGCCACTTCTCAAATATGGAAGCCAAGGAAAAACAGAGATTTAACATTAACATCCTATCCTTGGTCACAAGAAGCTTCATGTATCAAGTGGTCTTTAGCAAAATCAAAGCAAAAGCAAGAATGTTATTTTCTTTGCTCAAGTCTAATACAAGTGGATTCATGGTACCAAGCAACCTCAGCATTAAGAATCCACCCATTACGAATCCACCCATTCAATCCAAAAGGTTTTCCACCTTAAAACACTTTCACAGGAAATGTGCTTAAGAAATACAGCTAGCATACAATACTTTATGGCATTATACAAGGTTCTATTAGACATTTAATAGGATATCTTACGTAAGTTACTCAGAACTTCTTTACTCATGAATAATGCAGCAATCCTAGCCCCAGGTCAGAAATATCTTTTATAATGTTCTATATATGTACTGTTTCATAAGTAGCAAGGTATATTAGGGTCCAAGTCAGTAAATCTGAAAACATGCCAAGACATTTCTTTAAAAGGTTTCTTCTGTCACAGAATTTTTTTATTGAGAACAAAGCAGTGAAACTAGACTTCACTTTACTATTTCATATAGATTTACAGGCTCGGGGCTACATACATACTGCACTACAGTGAGGAGTTCTGTTTGCTGAATCTAAGCTACAGGAGAAGCATCCAACAAGCATATTATGCTAATGTTCCAGAAATCAATTTTTTAAATGTAAGATATCTGGATTTTATCAGTATAAAAGATCAACATATTCACAGGATGCAGCAGTACTCCAGTACTCAACTACACATCATTTTCTGTCCCAGTCATCTTTAGAATACATTCCTGTGGTAGAAAACATTTGGGGATAGCATCAGTGCTATGGAGTTTTGTTCTACTCTTCCCAGTTGTCTTACCCACACGTGTTTGTGCTAACAGGACTGCTTGCTGCTCAAGTCAGGGTAACTGATTTACACTGAAACCTACCCAGAACAGGTTTATTTTCCCAGATAAACCCACTTTTACAGTATGAAATGCACAATAACAGAACTGACAGGGACACCCTGACACACAGACAACACAGCAAGGACAGAAGTAGCACCAAACAAACACCCACAAGCCCAGCAGAATCCAACACATTCTGCTGCACTCTAGGGTTTTTATGCTACAGCATTAATAAACACCAAAAATTAAACAGAGACAGCTTTTAAACTCATATAATAAGAGATGCCGCTTAAGAATGCCTAATAACACATCTTGTAAGAAAATAAGTCTCTGAAAGTTTATTAAAGGATAAAAGTATTATACATTCACATTCAGGAAAAAACCCCATAACTTTGTACAGACTTGACATTTTGGGCAGGGATACTTCCTCAATACATTCTTTTGCTTTGCATGATTTGCATTATGGCATCTAGTGAAACACAACTAACAAATTAAACCAACCTTAGAAGAAGTACTAGGAGAATGAATAAATTAAGAAAAATAGTATTTATTATCAGCACTCATGAAATTCATACTGTCAACTTCTCAAAAATTGTTCACAGTAATAGATTAAAAAACTTACTGCAAACGAGTAAGAAATAACAGAAAATAAAGCTTTAACAGCAGAAAACACAGGCTCAGTATTAAGACCTATTAGGAGAAACACTTCTCCAATACTGATTGAAAGCTCTCAGATTGCACCAGAACTCAGACTTTCTTGGTGTGCACTGCAGCCACCAGCCACACTCTCCCTGGCACACCAACCATGCATTTTAAACCACACAGACCCTGAATTTCACAGGACCATTTTCTGAAATTCTAGCATTTACGAACTTCTTCAAAATAATTACAATAGCCTTCTTGAAATACTCCATTCTCAAGTGCACATTTATTTCTAAGTATCTTAAATCAAACTAGACACATTTGGCATTAGACCTGAAGCCTATTAATAGAAAGCAGTGATTATCATTTGCCATATATTCACTAAGGTCACACCATAAAACATAACAATGGATCCACGATGAAAAGTATGAACATTAGTTCATACTAACATTTCTAACATACTAACACCACTAGCAAGGCCATGTTTTCACTCCTTCTCTTTTGCAAATATGGCATTTCCCACGTTATCTGCCTCCAGCTAATTTTTGTGTAATTTTAAGAGGACAACAACAACAACAAGATTCAGAGTGCATGCATACACAGAAGGCTATATACAAAGTGGTTTTTATTATTATACTTCTCAGATCTTGGCAGCTATACATAGAAGCTGCTATATGAACACTTAGTACAACACAGCAGCAGTGTTACTCAGAAGCAGCGTCTGCATCAGCAAAGCACGTATTTTTGCCCACAGTTTAATAAGACTGCCAACTCAGGCCCTAAAAGAGGTTGTCTTCAGCTACATCTTAGTGCTGCCAGAGAATATTGCAGCAACAGGCCCTACAGTTGGGAGCTGTTCCAAGCAGCCTCTGAAGCTGCAAAGACATGTTGTAGCTTGAACAAACTGCAACAGAACTTCCAGGTGCATGAAAAAAATTGCTTATCGGGTAGATCTGTATGGAGAGGTAAAAGAATAACTGAAGGAGAAAGGACCTTAAACTGAATGATCTCCACTCGGAAGCTTCTGACTACACTTGAACACTTTCCTCGGACTTTTAGCACCTTTTTCAAGAAATGCTTTTAAGTAAAGTTCAGTGTGGTCCATATTCCTACACTGCTCTCCATGGAAATTAGAGAACCATGCTGGAAACCTGCACCCCCATGAAGGTCTGCTGTCCTTCCTTTAATCCAATGGCACTTTTAGCTCAGTTCAGCCTTAACAGTTACATTCACCAGCAGTTAATGCACAGGTCTGTGAAGTTTCCATCATGAAGCTGTATTCCAGAATAAAACAGGCTCTCTCTCGCTGCTCTTCCCCCTTCTGTTTTTAAGGGAAGAGTAGGAATTACTTATTCTCCTGTCAAGACAGTGAGATCCCAAGTGAAAAGAATGCATATTATGGTTGCATATAATTGAAACTGAGTAAGATTAAGTCACTGGAGCAGGAGCTGTGCAATGCACACAAACAAAACTGACTCTGGAGCAGCTGTATAAGCTATATACACTACACAAAGCAGTGCTTTAGTCTGCAAGCACTTTTAAATTAAGGCAGGAAAGACTATAGCTTTTTATCAGGCTCAGACCAACTGCATATAGACAATTTATGAGCCCATAAAAATATTCAGGTATCCACTGAGGAAGACTTTCCAATGCACTAAAAAAAAAAAAAAAAAAAAAAAAAAAAAAGAACAAAGCGCGCTTAAAGAGCTTATCAATGCAAACAAGCTTATTTTTATGTGACATAATCTTCCGTCCCCAAGGTCTCCAGCGGAGTGAAGAGAGGGCCCGGCTGGCCCACAAAGGGCAGCCCCGGGCCCAGCTCCAGCCCGGTCCCTGCCGCAGGGGTTACCTATGGCCCGGCGGGCTCCGGGAGGCCGCCTCCCGCTCCTCCTCCTCCTCCCAGCCCGGGGAGCTGGAGCGGGACGCGAGGGAGAGCGGCGAGCCTCGGGAGGGGCTGAGGGGCTGCTGGCCCCCAGCAGGCGGCGGGCTGAGGCGGCCGCTCCCGCTCATGGCGGGGCCACCGGCGGCGGTTACCGGGAGCGGCCCGGGCCGCGCTCCCAGCGGCCCCCGCGGCACCGGCACCGGCCTTGCGCGCCCGGGCCCGCCCTGAGGCCGAGACTGGGCCTGGGAGGAGACACCGGGGGTCCCCGATACGCTCTTGAGCAGGGAGTCGAGTCCTCCCTGCACACGGGATCTGACGGAGGCAGCCCCGCCCAGGAGAGGCAGCAGGCCCGGGACTGCCCGCTCGGCCCACGCCGTGTCCCGGCCGATCACTGACACGCGTATGCTAATCCATAGGAACTCTTCACAGTCGTTCTTTCTTCCTTAATGTTTATGTACGTGTACTAGTCCAATAAACGGGAAACAGTAACCTCATCTGCAGGTGACAATCTCAACAAATCAGAGGGTGGCATCTTAACATTTTCGAACAGCCAGGTAAAAATTTGTAATCCATGCTTGCATTAAATTGGAAAATCCCATTTCAGTCCTCACAATTACGGTCTTGTTTCTGATTCAAATTTCTAAAGACTTGGTTTTCATACACCTCTGCTAGAAAAACTGTGTTCTTTGCCTTCTCTATCAGTTAATTCCCCACTGAGTTTACATCTGTAATAAATAGGTCAGATTATATACATCTATATATTCCTATCCTTGTTTGCCACTACATTGTCAGCCTTCTATTTGAGTTCCAAATCCCAGGAACACAATCCCCGTTCATTGCTTATGCTTATACCCCTCCTCTTTTAGCCAAATCTTAAGCAGGATCAGCAACATTTGCATTACCAAAGCTTTTCATTACCCTCAAATTTCATCGGCCAAGTAGATAGCTGCTGATCAGCAGTTGGTTAATTTTTATAAAAATTTGAGTAATTTTCTTATGGTTGACTAAGCAGAAGCATTTTAATAAGCATATTAATACAAGATGCAAAATTTTGAAAATGACTGTAAATTTGGCTGCTATATTAATTGTTCTTGTGAAGATTCTTCAGGTGTGCTTAACAAGAAATGTATTTTTAATTGGATAGGCAGTTGAAAAATAAGAAACTATTAAAAATGCTTTGTCTTAATCAGGAAAGTCAGTTGTATCATCTGAGGTAACTGACTTGCCATATAAATTGAATTTCAGAGGCTGAATGATACAAAAAGGTTGTCAAATCTATGCAACCATTATGTGTAACTAGACACAACCAAAAATTAGTCCAGTGAGGCAGGAGATATCTCAATACCATCATTAACAGCCCTAAAAGATGACTAAAATTATCATATTTGAAAATGTTAAGATGGGATGTTTGGTGCTTGTACTGCACTGACAGGCACCCAAATTTCTCTGACAAACAGGAGGCATCTCTCTCTCAGGAGCATGTACTTCTCCCTCCCTCTTGCTCATTGTACCCTTCACTGACCCACAAAACCTTACTAAAGTGGTAGAAAAATACTTGTCCAAACAATCTGCGGTCTGAGCAAGCTAAAGCTCAGGGATGTATCAGACTGCTGAGGCCAAAACCAGGCAAGCAACTGGAATACACAGCCACAAAATAAGAGGGAGAGGTAGAGGTGAGGTGTAAGGGATTTGGGATTTCCCCCTTTCAGTGCTGGAGCTTCTGCATTTGGCTTACCATTTCACAAGGAACTGCAGTTTTGACAGGTTGGTATGACAGTATTTAACAGTGTGGTTCCTGTAAAAAAAAAAAATCCAAATGTTATTGCATCGCTGATCACCAGATGATCATACAGAACTGTTTTCCAGCAAGCTGAAAACCACAAAAAAGATCTCTGATCTAAGCACCCCCAGAATATTGAGTGCATCACTATGCACCAAATTGATGTTCATGATGCTTAAATAACTCCATCCACTTGTGGTAGATTGTTGAGCTGACTATCATAAAATAAAGAATCAATTATGATTAGCCACAGTATCTAATAAAACAAATTACACCTGTTGAAATAATTTGATGATTCAAGTATTGGAGACAACAGAATATCACTAGAAACTAAATTTCATGCCAAGTAAAGTTACAAGTAGAAGAAAATTTCAAATTGGTCTGAATTCTTAGGATACAAGTTACACAATCCATTGCCTCTGCTTTGTTTCAACACAAACCACCAGTGGTTTCATAGGAACTTTTGTATACATGCCGCATTCAGCTAAGAAATAAAAGCAGCATACAAGTTGTCCACTCCATGGCTACCCAAGCACTGTGAGCAAAGCTTCACGTCATGGCAAGCAGGAAAACTCCAAGTATTTCAACAGGCTGCAGACCAAGGTAATTTCAAAATGTCTCAAGAAGGCTTGAAAACCTTCCCTGACCTTAAAGCCCATCTCATAGTCAAGACTGGCAACAGTCATAAATAAATAGAAAAATTGTAAAGCCTCATATTGTCTCAGTAAATTGAGGCTGGAGCTCACTGCACTGGGCATCTCACTTCTAGTGGAGGCCCCTGTCACCTGGAATGGTGAGTAACTATGAAATCCGTCTCAGGGTGACGCAGCAGCACTTTCGCCAAACACAGACATTTGAGCTTGTCTATTCCCTTCCTATCCCATCCTGCAGAATATGAGAATTTCTCAGGATGCTGGAGCAGATATTTGGAAAATAGTTTATATTAACAAACCTCAGTATTGGGACAAGCCAGTAGAGTTTATGCATCAAGATTGCCCATACAGAGGGTGGCAAAAGCCAGTTCATCTTTTGGGAAATTAAAGCATTGTTGCTGGAACAGCAGAAGCATTCCAACTTTGAAGAGATGTCAAAACATTAATACTGTTACTATCCCTCTTACCATTCTGCTCAACTTGTCAAGCCAGCTCCACCAGCCACTGTGCCCTAGTTAACACAGGAAAAGTATAAGCCCAAATAATGTAATTTTGTAAAAAAGCATTGAAACAGAAGTCCTGCAGGTTCAGGTACACAACTCCCATGGCCACAGAAGGACTAACAAGATAAATGGAATACTGCAAGGATGGCAAAACCTTAATTCTGTGAACTGAATGCCAGAAGAAGCTGCCCTGGCAAGAATTACATGCCAACACTGCTAAAACCCATAGGCAAAATCAAACTGCCACAATGAAGTACAGAAGTTGCCACAAACAATTGAATGTAGTGCATAAATATATACACACATGCCTATGGTAGATACCAGGGTGAAAAATCATCCTAATTTCTCACTGAAGAAACTACAAAAACTACATTTAGTCCTTCAGTGCTAGCTCACAGTCATAGACTATAGAATAAGCACTTAAACCTATCTAGCAACAGAGAGTAAAATTCAGAGTAAAAATAGCACAATGTGTATACTTTCTGTCTGCATGGTCATGCCAATCAGCGTGTCTGAACAACCAAATGCTCATGACAAATTTCTCAGAAATATTCCCTAATAGCCACCCGCAGCATTTTAAAAAAAATTTACACATAAAATATCAAGAAAGCAATACCTTAGGTAACAGACAGAAAAGATTTAAATTCTAGACACAAATAACTACTCTCAATCACTAAGCACCTTGATTTGCCAACGCTTGAATTGTTCAGTTTTAGAAATACAACTGTAATCTGATGAACTCAGTCTCTAAAAACACAAGAGCCAGCAGAAACTTCCCAGTTCAACTTGATGAATATAAGCCAGAATTAATGAAAATAATGAGATCAGATTGCTTGCAGATGTCATGTCTAATTCCCCAACAGACATTAAGGAACACAGAAATATACAAATAATAACATGGAAAAAAACCTATTAAATTTAGGGAGAAACAGAGGCTTAGACATCAAGCTTTAAGCTTGAAGAAAAGACTATTTTACTTGCAGCCTTGAAAAAAGTAAAAATTTTGAACCAAATATAGTTGAATTAAAGTTTTCTTGAGTCTTCAGATTTTCCAGCATAAGGAAAAATAGTGTGGAAGGCATGGGAGCAAAGGAGAAAGCTACTTGGCTCACACTCCATGTCAGAGCTCAAGCAACACTGCCTGTACTTGTCTACTGGCTATTTTTGTGCCTGAATGTGTAGTTCTGCTTGATTAGAGGTGAAACCTGAGAGGTCCTGGATTGCTTCACTTTCCTTCATGGTATGATGTATTCTCATCCTTGCAGTATACTGTATACTCTGCTAGTCCCAGCCCAGATTCTGCTGACTGCAGATGTGGAACCATCTGCTTTAAAGGGATAGGGCCTCCAGATGAGAATTTCTCTCATCTGGGGAAATGTGCAAGAACTCTATGTAACATATGTAAAATCACATCTTTGTGAATCACTCAACCCAGCTCTTTTATGTTAGTTGAAGATCACAGCCCTCCTGCTTTTGAACAGCCTTTGCTTCTTCAGCTAGTTTATAGTTCTGCATAAAGTCTTTCTCTTTTTAAGCATTAGATAGTAATAGATTTACTTGCTCATTTTTGGGCTGGAATTTTCAGAACACAGGTTATGCTTTTGTTACTGGAAACCAGTGAGACACTTCATATTTCGTTACCCTCAAATCAAAATTAGTTCCCTATAGCAAATACCACAGTGACCACAAACCAGTATTTCTTACTTAAAACCTAAACAATGTTACTTTGTATTGGAGTAGTGCCAGAAGTGCAACATATGAAATAGTTCTTACAGTATACAAAGATACAGAAAACAGCAATCTGTGACACATAATATCCCATTTCAGAGTTAATTTCCTTTTTTATTGAATAATTTTCAACTAGAGTCTAGTGTTAAATCAGACTCTACAGTACCATATGTGAAAGGTAATATTGAAAAACACTTCCTGCTAAGAAAATAAACTTATGCCAACAGTAAGAGATCAAAAGCATTGATGTAATTAAAAAACATTAAGAGTACATATAAAACAAACCCTTCATTGTGCTTTTAATTAAAAATATTACCCTGTAAATTGAACTGTAAGGCTTAAAAATAGTAATCAAAATGAAAAGAATTATTGAAGTATCTTTGTGTAAGTCTGAAATTTCTGAGTAAATTCATGAATAAACAGGAAATTCTATTGGAAAGAAATGAAAACAGGCAAAAGGCATCTAGATCAAAAAGTTGCAAA